TGATATATATATATATATATATATATATATATATATATATATATATATATATATATATATTTATTTATTTATTTTTTTAAATTTTTTTTTTAAGGGCTTACCCGTCTTGTTTTTAGACTCATGATAAGAGGCCCTGTGTTGCAGTGCAGGTAGTCTAAACTCCCTCAGTTGGTCCAAACTGTTTTCATAACTCTTCAGATGTTTGCTTTGACAGAACGGAAGAGCCAAAGAAGAGCACGTGTGCAGGAAATCTCGACTGTCATTGTTCCGCCAGAGAAGAAAGTTCTCGATGGGAACTATATCTAAACGGCCAGTTTGAGTGGACATTTTCAGTTGGCAAATGAATATTTAAATCAAATGTTAAGAGCTCACCACAGGTGTTGAACAACCGGGAGCCGAGGACCGTTTTTTTGTTTGTTGTTGTTGTTGTAACAAACACTTTGCGCACAGTGCACGTGCAGGGAGGAGGAGAGGACACTCTCCCAACAGCGGAGCGGTGAAAGTTTTAAGGTGTAATGCACCTGCTCCGCCGCTCCTTTCAGCCCGTGCGTAATGCGTAAAGAGCACCGTGCCGTGCGTAACAGGTGGAATACCCGCAGGAGAGGAGAGAAGTTTGGTGAAACTCTCGTAAACGCTCTGTTGGGGAAAGGACGATGGACATAAATACCCTTAAGCATCAACTTTTGCTCGTGAGCCAAAGCCTGCACTGGCATTACGCACAACATTTAATGTTACCTGCCTCCACATCGTGCGTCCTAGAGGAAATGAATCTAACATAAAAGAGGGAGGAGAGGGAGAGCGGGGGCGGGAAAGTTTAGTAAAGTGGAACTTGGTAACAGATGCCAGCAAGGGGGGGGGGGGGGGGGTCGTGCAGGGGATGGGTGGAGGTTTCTATGTTGTGTACGTGAACGTGTTTGTGTGTGCAAGCTCGTGCGGGGGAGGAAGAGGACAGGACATGAGCGCACATTTCACGCCCCTCACCCCCCCCCGAAGCCCTTTTTCCACCTAAAGCGTTTAGTTGCAGCTGACTGAGCACTTGCAGGGAGTGCAATAGGGAGCGGAAGGGTCGAATTATTTCAACCTACAACTCGCCCCCAAAAGTCGGAAAGAAGAAAAAAAGAGAGAAGGGTAGGGTAGAAAACAGTGCCAGAGAGAGAGAGAGCGAGGGAGAGAGAGGAAGAGAGATAGAGGGGGAGGGGGGAGAGAGAGAAAGAGAGGGAGACACTGGGAAAAAAAAGTTTTTGTTCTTTTCCTTTTTTTTTCTCCTCTCATCGCCTCCCCCTGTTCTAACCGGGCAACATGGACCAGGGGCCCAAGAGTCCTGCACTGCGGCTGGGGAGAGCAGGTAGGGTCGCACCGGCTCAATTTCACTTTCATGAAGAGAACTTATCTTTTACAACAAGTGAATCATGTTTTGTTAGTTGTTGTATTTTTTTTTTGCTAATTTGAAACTTTCAAATATAAGTTGTGGACGTTATTTGTGGCGATCTAAGTTATTAGAAATGTTTATTTCTGAAACTTTTGCGTGGCGTCGTGACTTATCAACATGTTTTATCTCAATGTTTTTTGGAGTCATGGTGATAGCTATACTGGGAACTTTTGTGCTGTTTAGGAGAGAAGTCTTTTCTGGAGAATATAGTTATATAGTTATAGAATATAGTTTAAAATGTGATTTTGATGCCAGTAATAGCTTTATTTAGTCATTATTATTATTATATTATAATTTTCTATTTCTATTATCTTTTGGCACTGTTAGCTGGTATGGGAAACAAAAGTGGTTGTACTTGTTGGTTTTGGGTTGGCACCACATGCTGTTCAGGTCAGATCCTCGTGTTGGTCTGTGCACCGTCACCTGAGAGAGGCACATTGATACGTTGCCTGGCCCTTATAATGAAAAGCACTGTGGATTTGTGCAGTGTCTGTGTATCTGTGTGTGCGTGTCTGTGTGTGTGTGTGCGTGTTTGTTTGGCACGGCCAAACAGGGACACGCAATTGCTTACGCACACATTTGTTCACATATTTCAGGGCATCTTTTTAAAATTTATTTTATTAAATATGTGTTATGAGAACTGTGACCATTTGAGGATTAAAAGCTCGTATAGTTTATTGTTCGTGTTTTGTGGAGCAAAAGTTGAAAGCTGCTATGGTTTAGTCCAATATAACTCTCCAAAAGAGTCCGCGCTTTGGCTCTTCCCTGCATTACTTTGTTCAACAGGTTCATCTCGCATAGGCCTATTCATAAAACAGCGGGGCTCTGGTACAGCAATGGATCCGGCCATCGACCTCGTTATGGCACCCAATGGATACCACATCATTTCATATCGCTGCCCGCTGCGTCTGCATTGATAAAACGTCGTTTGTCATTAAGAAACGGCGGGCAGGTGATCCTGTCTCAAAGGGCCATTCCTTTTATTCCAGAAAGGCAAAAAATATGCTTTTGTGATGCTCTTGGTTGCCTGCTACTAAGTCGAATACGTGAAACAACACCTGTAATTGAGGTGCAGACATGCCTTTGGTGCTGTTTCTAATGGTCATTCTCACAATGGAGCGACATAAAAAGTGTGTTCTCCCATAATAGAAATAAATTAGCTCGCGCCCGGCCTTCTGTGGGAATACGTTATCAATTAATGCCCATGGTGTGTAAGACAAATAATGCCCTATTTGCAGTCTTTTTATGGAGTGGGCCTTGCCCCCTGGTAAACGGTGAAAGCAATGGGGTTTGTAGCAATTGGATAATAACCTTTTAACCACTGAGGAAATCAGAGTTTAAAGGAGGCCCTCCCCATGTTGGCGTGTGAAGTCTTTAGGGCCCGGGGCCTATACCTACGGCCTCTCCATTTCCTGTCACTTTAACATATACGTGCCCGGGGTACAAAGGAGCGAGCGAACGTTTGGATCTGACGAGACCCTCCTCTCTTCCCGCCCTGTAGGTTGGCCTTGCGTAAAAGCGCCGGCTCTTTTTCCCAATAAGCGGGGCAGCCATTTCAGTCCCTGTCTGACGAGTGTAGTGGGGCAGCAGATGATGGTGAATTATTATTTTACTAACAAGAAAAAAAATAGAGGTAGGTAGGCCTTAAAGAGACATATGAGCTTTTACCTTTATGATTTTAATAGAAAATAAATTCCATCTTCCTCCATTACAATAATCCAATTTGATTCCTTAGACCTCCTCTCTGTTCAGGCTTCACACACGTTAGCAAACAGACAGACGCGGTCCAAATGAGCTTTCTGATGTTGCAGAAACCTCAAGAAAAGCTGAGACAGAGACAGAGAGATATGGAGAACAGAGGAGGCGAGTAAGAGGGGAGGGAGGGGAGACAGAGAGAGGGAGATGACCTCACATGGCATACAGCCTGCTTCCGCTTTGACCTCAAGTGCCCTACATGCAGGGCGAGATGTTATGGCCTTGTACTTGCATTTCCATGCAGATAAACGATAACCAGTAGGTCCATTTGATCAGGCCTGCGAGTGGGAGAGAGCACCTGAGTTCCACCTCGACAAGTCCAAGACAGTTCACTCTCTCTCCACTCATATATTTTATTTATTAGAGACGACTTTATATATATATATATATATATATATATGT